GAAGAAAAGAAGAACATTTCAATTAACAGATTCAATTATGCTTATTACAAGCTTTTACAAGCTTTTATACTATGTGCTAACTATTCTTATAAAAAAGTGTGCATTTACTTTAAAAATGTACAACATCTTCAACTGTTCTTCGAAAAGTCTATAGAAATTAAATCGCTTTGTGAGCAAAACAAATTCATTAACAAACAATTTTAATAATCGATGACATCGATGTTTTTGAAATTCTGCTCACATGCACACCGGCACAACTGCGATTTAGTTAAGTCCGTCCGTCCATTCAACCGTCTCTGAATCTGTCCGTCTGTGCAATGTTTGTTGTAAACAGACAGTCTCTCTGCTAAAAAAGCTATCGACTTCTAATTTAGCAGAAATATTGGAAATTCTTGCGCCCACGTTGGTATTGAAAATGGACGGAATCGGTCGAATTAGACGTCTACAACACCACGTAAGCTGAGCGCACCTCTGTTTTTCAAAAGGAATAAAAAATTGATTTTTGCTCATTATTCATAAAATGTAGCAAATAAATGTGCAAACATTTGAATGCATATTCTATGTGCGAAGCCAAAAGCAAGACTGCACCAAGACTTCGTTTTTTTTAAATACATTTATAAGGCGCAGTGAAAAGAATGTTTTAGGTATTCCCCCCTATACCAATGGATTAATTGTCGTGCATCTACTATATATATATTCTTGCAATCATATTGCAATCACAGAAAAATAAACATAATATGTTTTCGTTCTTCATCAGCTGGTATAACAATTTTCAAATTTGTTTATAAGTATAGAAGATTTTCGAAAATTATTCAATTCCAATAAATAATTTTTTAAAATTAATTCCAAAAGATGGAAAAAATAAAAATTTATATACGGTTCGAAATGAATCCTAGATATCTATATCACCCCAAAGGATATACATAAAATTTGTAGATTATATCCTGGATTATAAAGCCTGTTAATTATGATTACAATTAATTGCGTGAGCAAAATGTGCCGCGACTTAGAAGACTTATTATACTCGCCCTTGCCTCTAGCCCTCCAGTTTTAGGATTTTTATAAATCCATCCCGCCACCTTCCTTGGATCGACAAAACACTCGCCAAACACATGGTATCTGACTCTGCAGATGACCTCATATCCACATAGAATATGATAGGACGTCTCCCTCGCCCTTTGGCAGACACTTTATAAATCAGTATCGGATATACCTACGTTTTTCAGTTGGTAACTGAGGGAATTATGAGCCGTGTAGAAGTCCGCGACCAATCGAAGGTTGCTTCTTCTAAGTTCCCGTAGTTTAGGTGCCGTACCGGAAGATTTTATAAACCTTTTTGCCTGCCGTTGTCCTGCACATTGCTTCCAACAGCAATCCGATTTCTTCTGTGCCCGTTGCGATACCAGCCTGTTAATAGAGCTTCTTGATACGTCACAGAAACGTTCAAGACCTAACATGGTTTCTCGGTTTCTCCTGTTGGCTGGACAGTCAGCCCTTTCGTTGTCCTCAATATCCGAATAGCCCGGCACCTGCATTAGATGCACATCATTGCCTCTGTCTAGCTCATTCAGCGCTCCAGCACAAGCCTAGATGTTATCATTCACCCCTTTGGGAACTTTAAGTCGGCTTGACTGTCCGAGTAAATTCAAATCCGTTCCGTTCTGCACCGCCTTCTTAAAGATTCAGAGACACACGCGGAGATTGCGTAGACTTCTGCTTGGAATATGGAGGGACTATATCCCATCGATATGGCCTTCTGAAAACTAGGCCCACAAACTCTTGTCCAAATTTTGCCATTTTCCAATTTTGAACCGCTGGGGTAACAATTCCTTGTTTCCACACCGGGTTTGCCCGTCGCAACGCAATCTCGCCGGTGGAACAGTACTAGCTTTGCAAGCTTATCAATATTTTTCTACCACATTGTAAACCGATAATTGCACCAAGCCATTAATGATGGTAACTATCATTAGTGGACCGTATCCACTTTTAAATTTAATTTATCGCGCTCAAGTGTGCCGAGCGGTCACTTTATAGCTGATATATTGCAAAATTAAGAGCTCTAGGAAGCAATCATGAATAGGTCAACATGGTTATGAGATTCATATACAATTTATGGTATGCATATATGGTATTATGTACGATATAGAATTCTTGAAATTAATTATAATATGAAAGCACACTTCTCGCGATCGACGATTGCGATAAGGAACAATACCCTTGCAGCGGATTTTTTTCTGAAAATATCTTTGATAAACTCAAAGCTTGATAATTATGGAAATGCGATTCAACGCACTGCAGCTGGCCGAAGCGAACGTTAAAGCCAAAAATTTCAAAGCAATATTTTCTGTATAAATATCATATTAAAAATTATTCTCAAAAAACTATTGGAAATATTCAGGGTGTTTTTTTTTTTATTTTCTTTTTAAGCTCCTGGTTACATTGTCGCGGATGAATCACATTTATTTCAGTTTTCGTGTACAATTTTGAAAATTCTAACAACACATCCATAGATGACAAATTAAAGGGCAGCTAGAGTCGGGATCTCTTTAATGAGTATAATAGGAGCAAAAAAATAATTGATAAATATTTGTACAAAAAAAAAAAAAGAAGAAGAATTTCATCATCAATCATGATAAGTGAAGCGAAGCGGCAAACTTCACGTGCATTTAAAGAATATTCTCAAATTTCAATGTTCGTCTCATGATGTCATTTTGTGCATTCAACCTTAGAAAATTTTCTAAAAACTATTTCATGCGGCTGTTTAAATAAATGTCCACCTACACAGGTCTCTTTTTTCTGCTCTCTCTCCGCCCGTCTGCCTGACTGTCTGTCTGTCTACTTAAATTTATATCATCGTCATTATCATCACCATCATGATTATGATTTATTTGTGTTTTTACGTAGCAATCACAATATCATGGAGGCATAATCAATTTATCCTTGCATTGGTAACATTCTGGGAAAATCTTCCATTTAGAGTGAAACTGGTTCATTGATGTATTTGTGTCCGTCTGTCCATCCGAATGTTATTATTATGTGCTTGCATGTATTTTACACATTTTTTCTGCTTGAGAATAGCATTTATTGAGGAAAATTTCGCATCTTTGTGGCAGCGCGGCCCTACCGTGTCGAAAAGACGCCATCGGTTTGACAGCGATCCCATCAACGACAGTTTGAAAACGGCATGCCAGTCAAGCCATGCTGCATTTGATTTGAGCAAGTGGTAACCAGGAGGCGCGATGTCGGGCGACCATGCTGGGTACGCCAGAATTTCCCATTCGAGCTGCAATCCTAACAACTCTTGCAAGGAGTAGGACAGCGTTGTCATGCAAGAGGACGACTTTGCACGACAACTTCTATTAACCGGTGACAGGCTGGTCTCTTTTGCGGCAATACACCGTTCAATTTGTTCAACTGACGTCTTGGTAGACATCTGCAAACAGTTTCAGCTCGTAATATACTATCATGAGCACTGACAATAAAACTTTGTAGCCATGAATATTCCTCCACGATGTCAATGTGGATGACTCTCCTACGACTTTTTATGTTCGGGATTGGCGTAGTAGATCCACTTTTCATTGCCAATCACAATACGCCGCAGAAAACTCTTCTTTTTTTGCCCGGCAACTGATGAAACCTCAATGTTGCAACGGTTCAAAATGGCATTTTTAGTCAATTCGTTTGATACTCATTTTCCCTTCTTTTGGATATCTCCCATGGCAACGTCGAGAAAAAATTGATTCATCAATTGCTAAGCAATTCGAAAGTTTTCTGAGAGTTGAGCTGCGTTTTCGTTTAATAAGTCTTGCAATTCATTTCCTTGAACTTTTTTGGTCCTCGAGTCCGTTTATTGTCATTGAGATCAAAATCAAAAGCGGCAGTTAGAATATAATTGCTTCTAAAATTGTCTGATGCGCTTCGGCAGCAGATTTTTTCAAATCAATCAAATAACAAAAGTAACGAATGCCGAGAATAAAATTTTGAGCAATAACGTTAAATGGAGAACGCTGCATACTTCGCATTACTTTATCATGGCTGATTTACGCAGGCACGGACAAGAATCATTTAAAACTCTTCGACATTAAGGGTTTTGCCTGTTAAATCATCAAAAGCCTTAGATTTAAATAGGCCTTGGATCGTTAGTTAAGAAAGTAAGAAAATTTCATATCACTTATACGCCATGCTGCTCATACAATATTAATCACTGAAACATGCAACATATCGAGCGTATTTAACATATAACTAGAACTGTAAGTACAGGGTCGTCTATGGGTTAAATATAGCGTAGAGATGGATTTTTCTAAAAAAGCAAAAAACAATTTAAGAAATATGTGTTTCTCAGCAACATTATTAACTTAATGCTTAGTAGAAGTGAAGACTATGTAATTTATTTAGTTACAGTTCATAATGCCTTTAAGATGACTCAGCGTTGATTAGGTCAGATCAGATAGCTAACTATTCGACCTTGACATAACTTCTCTTTCAAAGTTACAGACACCAGACATTGGTGCGTTGTTGTTATTAAGATTTTAAAAAGTTACATTACTTAGTAACTGTCGTTAGTTTCGTTTAACTGTAGACACTGACTATTATTATTAAAGCTTGAAATTGCTTTTAATAGTTATCTGTTCGTTAAATTCAATAATATTTTCATATTGTTTTCATACCCGTAGTGAACGCCTCTTTTATCATTACTAAAATCGCCCCGAAATCGTTTATTTAAAAACTTTTCGTTCGCCATTCATTGTAAGCCTTTGCGCCCAAAACACCCAAAATCATATATAATATCGAAAATTTTCTTACTGCAGCTACAAAATTTGTTTTCCATATGTCCAAAAAGAATCGCCTGACATTTTAATTTTTACAAGTAAAGCTTTTATGAAAAAAAAAACCAAAAAAAAAAAAACAAAAAAAAAAAAAAAATAAAAATAATATAAAACAAATAAACAAAACGTTTAAAATAAATTTCATAAATGAGTTAAACTTGAAATGTTTTATAGGCGATAAAAGTGAAGGAACATTTTGCCGAACAAACTTTTCGTTATCCGGTTATGTTGCTCGGCAAAAATAAGGATCTAACAATAGCGGCCACAGGGAATTCTAAGAAAAAACATTCCAAATATGATAAAGTAAATATTTTAAATTTTTTGTTGTTGTTTTATTCTATTTATATAATTTTCTTCTTCTTTTTTTCCCCCCCTTTTCATATATATATATATATATATATATATATATATATATATACATATATATATATAAGAAAATAAGTTTTATTTTTATTTGTATTTTTTTTTAGTTTAAATAAGCCCATCATCGGAAGACGAAAATATTATGTGTTGAATTTTGTTGTTGTGCGCCTTTACCTAAATCGGTGACCCAATTGATTGACTTTTTTCACCTTTTTTTTCTCTTATACACTCGCGACTGTGTAGGCCAACTAGGATATAGAAATTACTGGCCAATATCCCAACAAGCATCTATTCGAGATGGAAGGTCAAGACGCTAGAAAAATCATTTTTCTAATAATTTTTTAAACTGTAACTTTTTATCATATGTCACCCATTCGCAATTTTTGGTTTTGGTTCTTCTGCCATTGAAATTTACGTTGTATTCGCCTGTCGTTGACCAAAGATTTTCCTCATCGTCACTTTTTGTTTTATTATAATATGACTAGTCGCTCGGAATTCGTGGAATACGGTGATCGTTAGAAAGAAAAGAGGAGGGAGAAAGAGATATCGGCAAGCGTTGTGCTTTTACCGACCTGAGATTTGAATCCGCGAACACTGACGTAGTTTATAGTAGTTCTTACCTACTAGGCTACTCAGGCGGATCTTGTATACATATTTGTGTTATGCGTTAGTTTTAATCATCACCTCAATCAATATTCGAAAAATCGTGGGAATATGAACGATGAGATGTATTCTTGAAAACATTTGCTTAAATCCTTACCTGCCCAGCTATGATTTAACTTAGAATTGTACGAGTTCGCTTCAGGTAACTTTGCTTGCGATAATAACATCACTTCATTTTTGGTTGCATTGAAGTGAAATGATTATAATTATACATTTCCAACGGATTTACTTCTTCCAAGATTGTCACTAGAAAAGGTGTAAATCTAAGAATGCGAAGAATACTCTCGCATACAAATGCAATATGTCTCTCACTTCCGGTGCCTTTGTATGCCATTTTGAAGCGGGAATTGTTTTTCATCTTTCGCTTCTCATCTCTCAATTGTTCTTTCACGATCGATCACCGATTACTATGACGACCTTCACTTGCTGCTTAAGAAAAGGAAAGAAAAAAAAAACGAAATAGATTCTTATGATCGCACACTAAGTCATACGTAAAATGCTCTACTAGTAATTAGTGAGGAATATCACAACATAACCTCAAGAGAAATGGAAGCCACCGAGTAACTATATAACGATCCAAAGTTGTTCATTTGCATCTCTGCATATTTCCGATATTTCGGCTTGTCTTCTCGAACGTCGAACGAAGACGAATAAGTTTGAATACGATCGTACGGACGATCGATCTTCTGATGATGGGCAATCAACATTTTGCTCTAAGGCAAATAAATAATTAGCTTTCTTACTTGTATTTATGTAAAATTGATATTAAATCTAAGTTTTGCAAAATTTCTTCTGGATGCACATTTGTAATCAGTGTTTTGCAGATTTCTATGGTTAATGTATGAATTTTTTTCCTAAATTTTTTCTAAATAAAAACAAAACGAAAGATGAACAGATAATTTCATACAAGTTTTTTTCAAAACTTAGCAAACTTATTCAAAGCATTTTAATGTTACTATTTTTTTTTATTTTTTGTTTTCTTTTTTTTTTTAATATTTTTTTATTTTTTTTTATTTTTTTATTATCGTTTCGTTTAGTATATAAATGAGACCCATATACCGCTTATACCCGATGAAGCAATACAATCATTGTCGGAGAGCGATATGCTTAAAGTGGAAAAACGTATGGAAAGAAGGCGGAAAGTGCTGCTCGATAAATGCTCGGAATTAGGTTTAGATGTGGTGGGTAAGTTCAGTTTTCTCAAAAATAATTTTTTCTTATATTAAGAAATAAATTTATTTTAACGAAATAATTTTCTTTATGCAATTCTTTATATTTGCAGGTACTGATCCTTGGCATAAGCCGAATCCTTGGGAGTTTCTAGTTAATAAGAAATATCATATTATATGGTAAATATTCCTTCACATATGCTTCTTTTTTCTTTTTTTTTTAAATCTCTCCTCCACCTTTGGTTCTCCGCAAGCGATTGATTCTGTCATAAGGCGTCTAACGCCTATACGCGCAATCACACACGCCACATCATTGCATCCATCCGAAATATCTTATCCACCATTCGCACGTTGTAGTATACGGTTAGTTTTAAGCTTGTCCGTCCGCTTTCTTTTCTTGCACTCACCCTACAAGTAGCAATTTTTGAGTTATTTTCAGATAAAATTTAGTACAGAAGTTTGTGTGTTTGGCCGAGAGACGAACGCTATTGAAAAGGGTTCGAGTCGGATCATTTTTTCGAGCCGTTCCCATATAGCGCATTATTTTGAAAAGTCGTTACGCGCATAATTGCAATAAACGAAGTGATGTAAGCCTACTAAAATGTTTTTCCATGTTTTTTTGTACCTACCATCGTAGAGGGCATGCTCATTTTGTCATAATGTTTGCAACGCCAAAAATAAAGCTCCAAACACCGTATAAAGTATGTATATTTTTGATTAGCGTGAAATTTTAAATCGATTTACGCATGTCCGTCTGTCCATCGGCGTAATCAATGTTACTGTCACCCTCCTGGTCCTGAAAGCATCGACTTCAAAGTTGGTAAAGCAATTGGAAGTTTCTGCACGCAGGTTTGTAATAAACACAGATCAAATTGGTTAGAGCACATGCCCGCAAGTAAGCTTAAATTGAACGTGATCCCGCTTCTCTAAGCAACAAATTGTGGGGTTTCGCTCATTACTCACCGATTATGAAAGATAGAAGGCTGAATCTCTTGCTACATTTACTTTACGGAAAACCCCTATATTTCATTTTGTCATGAACAAGATAAAATATTTGAAATTATTTCGTTTATTCCGTAAACGAGGATATATTATCTGCCTAAAAAAATAGGACGATGGGGATTAACTTTGTTCTTAACAATATCGCCCATACGGGGAGGAATAATTTTTTCCTAACAGTATCGTCCATATGGCTATCAAATAAAAGGACTTGGAGAGTAAAAAAAATTATTTAAAAAAATTCGATTATATAATCTTTTGTTTTAGTGAACTAAAAGGTGCAACATAAGTTTTATCCCATTTACTTTTTTGTAACTATAAACAAATCATAGGGAACTATTAACATTATTAAAATTATTAAAATATTTATTTATCCCCAGGAAAAAAAAAAACAAGAAAAAAAAGATTCTTTGAATGAGATCACCATTAGCAACCAAGACGATCGCCTTCATTTAAAGAAAAAATGGAAAAAAACAACTAGAATTTATTAATTGTTATTGTTTTTCCTTTTAACAAATTTATTTTGCATTTGCAGGTGTAATGTTTTCAAAGCTGCCTCATCATCATGGATGTTTAATTTTAATATTTTAGCTGGTTACTCGCCGGAATTTTTGCACAAAACCAAAGAAATTTTCCTGCATTTAGCCCGTGTACGTTACCCTCGTGTTACTTTGGACGAGGTAAGTAATGCACTGCATTACATGTATACATATACATATTTTTTTGTTTGCATTTTTTTTATTTTTTTTTTTTTATTACACTTAAAAGCTTTTTAACATTGTCATAATAAGCATTGCAATTATCCTTTTTATCATGTTTCCACAAGAGGAAGGCAAGAAAATGAGCACTTATTTGGTTTTTCCTTTCTGTACTTTTCTACTTTTTCCTCGTTGCTTTTCTTATTATCTTTTCTAGCTGAAACAGGCACAAAATGATTCAATCACTTTTATAATAGCACGTCATCCTTTTGAGAGGCTATTGAGTGCTTATCGTGATAAATTCATGTTTGCTGTGCCTCATTCATTTCACGATAAGCTAGGACGTAAGATAATACGTACTTATAGAAGAAAGGTAAGAATGAAAATACATACATCGAATATCAGTCATTTAATGTTTTCTTTTTTCCTTCTAAATTCTCTTGTCTATTTTTAGGCGTTAGAATTGAAAGGTAGCCATTTTGAATTATTGTATTAATCCCTTTGAATTCCAGCCTTACTTGCAGACGATGATGATCTTCTTTATTCATTGCCAATCTAAAATTTTGATAAATTTTTCTAAAATCTTCAGATATTCAATTTTCATGTCCTAAGTCGACTTAGGGCAGATAATCCTGCTCTTTGAATTCTTTTTAAAAATGACGCTTACTTATTGGTATTAGACTTGATTTGCAAAAACCTTTTTCTAAAGGAATACGTCATTGTCGAATAGCACACACTATTTGGTGGAGTTCCAATGTGTCTGTTAGTCAATTCGATTCAATAGGATTTCTCTTATTTTCCATATCAGGTTTTAATATCAATTTGCGTGGAAAAATATTCAATATTTTTGACGAATCTGTAGCAGACACTTTCATTTTTGCGACTAACGAAAGCTTTATCACAGATGGGTGGGCAGATGGACACGTCTCAATCGCTTCAAAATTTGACACACTGAACTGAGACAACTTTAAAAAAACGCGCCAATTTTTTTCCATATTTTCATAAATCAATTTCGATCCCGTTAAGATTTACCTGAGAATCTGTCATCCAGAAATAGTCATAGATCGGGTTACTTATATGCCAATTAATTGCAATTTATTTGCACATTATTGGTAATTGGGTGAAGTAAATGCTAATGTATCCTAAAATAAGTGAAAAATAAATTGGAAATATCTCATTCCACCTCTATATCCAATTAATGTCGTTACAATCAAGATCAAGACATTTGGATAACCTCGCCTTACTTATACCACGGCAACACACCAATGGATCCTTAAAAAGCCCATTCCCTCAATTTGCAATCGTAGAGAAGATCGTACGATTAAACATTTTCGACACACGAAACATATTCGAAGACTGGTGTCTTCGGGGCGTCTAACTCTATCGGCAACCTTGAAAGTACCCGCAGAGGTTAATGTCAATAAAATATTTGAAAAAAAAAGAGTCTTCGAAGAGTCTTCTTCGCTGTCAACGCTCAGCCGAATTTGTTCCTCTGGTCTAGATAAATTATGAGAATATTAACAATATTGTCAATTGTCGACGTATTAGCTAACCGATCGCCACCATTTTTGGAATGTATGAAATGTCATATCGGCTGATCCGAATTGAGCAAACGTCATTTACTTCCCAAAAATGTTATTATTTTTCAATTTCTCTCATAGAAAACTAAAAATTGTACCTTCTGCCCATATAAGGGCTTGCTTGTTGCCTGATAACCCCTATATATTTTTATGGTCTAAAAATTAGACTTATGCGATCCAAATTGCCGACCGTTAATTTTTTTGCCAAATTTTGCCAAAACAATTTTAATAATAAAATTTTAAAAATGAAACCTTTTTCTCAAAGGGTTACTATTTATGAGATATGGAGTGGTATCTAAGAAATAGACCTATGTGGTTGAAATTTGCTCTGCCTATTTCTTATGTCGAATTACTATTATAAATAAATTTTCATCATAAAACTTGAACAATTACGGCTTTTTGGTATATAAGGTTTTACATTTCCTGGGAGTACCTATACGCGGTGGTATCCAAAAAAGAGACCTAAATAGTTCAAATTCGCTAAAGTTTGCATTATGAAATACTATGAAATATTGAAAATTGTAACTGTTTATCATATACAGATTTAGTTTTCGTGGTAACGGTTATAGGAGTAGGGGTTCAAAAAATCATCACAGCCGAATTAAATTTTTCATACCAATTGGGAATGTTGATATACTGTTATTCAGCGAGTTTTCTCGGGAAATTTTGAAAATTGCAATCTATTTTATTTCCATATAATTAATTTTCAAAATAAGACGTTATATGAGGAGAGGTTTTCAATATCGTTCGCTTTACGGTGAAGCACGTCAACGTACCAAACTTCTTCAAAATATCTCAGAAAGGCGACCTGTAGGTTGAATATAAAACTACATGAACAAACATCAGACGGAAAGGCGGACAGAAAATATTAGATCGATTCATAAAATGATTCTGAAAATGATGCTGAGTCGATTAGTATAACAAAAGGTGGATCTATCTTAAGCCGTTTTAGGTGTTACGTACGTCCGCACAAACGGAGCATATCCCACCGCACAATTGATGTTGATCTTAATCGATTAAGGAATGCTTGCGCCGACATTCAGCTTCCTATATTCGTTCTTGTGGCTGCAGTGAAATTGATATACGTGCAAAAGATATATGTGCAAAAGTTGAGCATGATTGTGGGTGTGTGTCTTATCAATAAATACTTAAGCTTCACATTATTTTTAATCACCTCCTCATCCTTTTAAGCTTAACAGTTCAAAAAGATTATATTGATCCACGCGGCAGTTCTACTACATGACAACAATTTTTATAGCTTTTAAGGAATACATGTTTCTCTCTTTTACGAGAGAGGGAGAGAGAAATTTGTAGAAATTTATTAATACATTTTTTTTGTGGCCTTCATTTACCATGTCCTACGAGTTTCTTTTCGCGTGTTATACGAACAGAGTCGTAATTTTTGTACCGTGTTATATGAATCGACCCTATATGAGCGGCTGTTATAGTTGGGTTAACCACAGTTTATAGCGACTCTGAGGCATTCTCGCGGTTATTGCACACACTTCTAACCTCACGGTGGTGGATACAGAAAATAAGAACAGTTAGTAAAGGTACTTCAATTTTAATTCCTTGAAGTTCAGTTTCGCCGGAAAAAATGATAAGAATAGGACGATATGTTAGTCCATAAAGGACAATTTACAAAAATCTTGTCTATTTTTAGGAGAGAAAAATTAATTCTTCTCAATTTTCATAATGTGAAAATTGTAGGAAGGAAAATTCAATTGAAATAAATATTTATTTATAAGCTTCTATTCGAATTTTATATATATATATATGTCTTTCACTTATAGGGATTTGATAATCATGCCCCAAAGCATCCCACATTTCCCGAATTCATACGTTGGCTTTTGGATCAAGTGAAACAAGGCAATTATTTAGATATGCATTTTGTGGCTTCAACTAGATTTTGTACACCGTGTCTAATAAATTTCGATATAATTATGAAATTCGAAACTCTCGAAGAGGATCAATTATATTTAATCGAAAAGACTGGTCTTAAACGAGTCATAGCGCCCGAATGGCGTAATATGGGAAAGGGTAAAAATACATTGGAATTATTGCTGCAATTCTTTTCGCAATTAACCAGACGTGAACTGGATGGTTTATATGATTATTATAGGTAAGAGCGTGATCTAAATATATATATATCTACACAGCATCTATGCAGCTATTTAACTAATTAAAATTACATTCTGATAACAGATATGATTTTGAGCTGTTCGATTACAGTGTCGCTTCATATTATAATATAGCAAAACCGAATGAGATAAAGATTCCCGAAGCAGCGGCCGTAGCATTGGGTAAAGTGAGCACTTCAGCGAAAGTAAAAGCCTAAGAATAAAAGAAGCTTGTTGCATATCCAACAACAATAACAACACCGACACTGACAACGAATATTGTAGAACTGCTTTAGTTTAGAGTAAATAGATACAATAAGTTATTAGCATGATCGTAGGAGAAACACAACATAAAACACGAACTAAACAAACAAGAAAAAAACAAAAACAAAAAAACAAAAAAAAAAAAGACAAAAACTGAAAACAACTCTCCCTCGCTCTGTAGCCCTTCTAATCGATACACATTTTAAAAACTATAATAATAATAACAACACAACAAAATTGAGAATTGATATAAAGTTAGTTATAATAATTAAATCATTATAATAATGATAAAAACATAAAAGACAACATGTACAATAATTTTTTTCTTGTTTTTATATTGAAACACGTCTCCACGTAAATATAATAAAATATTGAGAATTATAAGTGAGAAAAAATAAACAAAAAAAAAAATAAAACTTCATATTCGGCCCAAGACGAACATTATATAACCATTACCATTTAGAGGGAATATAAACACATGCCGTTATGTGAACAGAGAGATTTCAAAGAAAAGTTCTCTCCTTAACTTTCAAGCCTCGTCAGAACGCAATGATGATTGTTTTCTAATGAGTTGACATTTCGTGATCACTGTAATCGTGACAAGGTGCGTTTATTTTTACGAAATTTATTTTTAAGACTGCAATTAAAGTCTGTTCGCATAAGTCACGAAAACATCATGTTGGATCTTGAACGTTGCCTCCTATATAGCAGCTTGAAGGATATAACTGAAAATGTTTTTTTTACATATTGTAGTTGCGAAAAGCTCTTCCATCCTCCTATTCCTGTTTAAACGAAGTCAATTATTGTTCCTAGTGCTACTAGTGCGTTCGAAATTTTATTTGTGTCTTTTATTTTAAACACTGGGGTGTGTGAAAAGTAAAATTCAAACAAGTAGAAACACTTTACTCGACCAGGGCCCGTAATTAAATATCCTACGCCGTTCTACAGTTATTCAAATAATGACTTTTGATATGATTGAAAAAGTGGTCCGAACCGAATCATTTTTCGTTCGGTTGGTCCTTGGGCCAAAGCAGGTCAACGTATCAAATTTCATTAAAATATCTCGCAAAAATTGTGACCTGTCAGTTGAATATAACGCAACCAGAAGTGCAGACAGACAAACAGACAAACTTTAATCGATTCAAAAAGTGATTCAGAGAGTGCTTCTGAATCGATCGGTGTAATAAAATTCATTCTGAGTATTGCATGCCGCATCCGCCTAAACTTGATATAGAGAAACTCTTTGCGCGATATATTTCTGAATATTTCTGAATGTTATAAATGATATATATGTTCGATTACTAACCTAATGGTAATGGCTATGAAAAGAAACTATATTAACAATTTAAAAAATTAGAACTTGAAACATATGGAAAAAATACGCATAGCGATTATCTCCTAACTAAGCATTGAAATAAATTAATAATAGAATAGACAAGCGAGAAGAAGAAGAAAACCACAATATATATACACATAAATAAATGAATAGATTCAATTTTAAATAATCCAATTATACGACATTTGTTGTGATTAAATTACATCCATACATACATCAAGCTTCATTGCTGTATTCAAGTTTGGATGAAAAATTGAAAACTTTTGAAAAACACATCTAACATAACTAAGCCTAAATGATTTGATTTAACGGACTAAAGATTTTAGTCTGTGCTGAATTTTAATTATCGGTACGCAAACACAAACACACAAAACCACACACATGCATATATATTTATATATATTAATTTATATGCGAGCGTTATATGTAGATCTCAGTATATCTGCGTGCTTTACTACATGAGTTTCGACTCACTCTTCGAATCAGAGCAATATATATATATATATATATATATGTATATATATATATATCTATTTTTTTTTTTTGTTTTTTTTTTCTTTTTTTGTTTGTGTTCTTATAGTAAATTGAATTTATTTAGCGATAAATCTTTTGTTAATGTTATTGATTTGTAAAGAAAAGAAAGAAAAAAACTAAAAAAATTATTGTTAATTTATCACAATTTGTTGATTTTTAAATAAACTTATGAAAGAATAAAAATTGCGTTTTATTCAAGAGTAAAAGGAAAAGTTTGTTATTGTGAAAATCCGATAAGCGTTTTACCCTACATAAGTATAAAAACAACAAATTCTTGCCAGTTGCAGATCAGCTATGGGACAGGTAATATATACCTTTTCCCGGTAAATAAGCAAAGTTCACCACTTGTAATCAGGCTCAAGTTTACAACTTGCATCCTCTTAGACGAATAATTTGTTTGTTGGGAAAAGTCTGGCGTGAAATAAAAGTCGGGCGGGAATCTAATCGCGTACATTAATCCTTTCTTCAATTTACTAATGGCTTTAGAGAAGGCATCTCTTAAAATTTATCAAAGAAAGTTTGCTTACGGATCTTGGAAGCATAGTGATTAAGATGAGAGATGGCTGAAGCAGAGTCGCTTTTGCACACTCTTTTCAGACGCCCGACTGCGGTGTTTTGGAACCAACTTATGTCGTCATGAAAATGGTTTCTTTAGTAAGCCCTTGCGAAGACAGAAGTATCGCAAGTATTTCTGCTATACCTGCAATGAAAATGAAACCATCCGCTTACACATAGTTCTCTGCCTTTCTTACGGATACGAGTCCAAAGACGAAGTTTCTAGAATCCATCATTACTTGTCAGATCAAACCCTTCTAGGATCGCATGTTGCTTACTCGAATCTATCCATCATTACCCATTAGAATAACATATCAGAAATCACCGAATAGGGCAATCCATAATTCCCTAATGTAATATATCCTATTAGATATCACCACTGTCTATTATAAAAGGAATTATTGGAATAGACTGTTGTCTATCAGTACGGGTGCTATTAGCGATCACTATTGCTTGACATTACATATTCCAATAGATCACGCCTTTGCCCACCAGGGCAGATTTACAATTCGCCGTTTCCACCGTACCACAGTTGTCTATTAGAATTGACGCCATTACCTATCCGAAATGTAGGAGTATCACGAGACTCAAATCCAGGATAACCAACAATGAATCGGTAAATTGTTAAAGAATTTAGGAGTTCACGGCGTATAGATAACTTTTGAAAGTCAATTCATTGGCCAAGTATTTCAGATGGACCTTCTTGATTTATTATTGCATACAGAAAAGAGTTCGTGGTGGTTTTTCATCAAACTTCAAACCTATTTTCTTATATTTTCATGAAAGTAATTGTACGCCATTTTCATTTACAACTTTTTTTAGTTTTAAGCTATTTGATGGATGCATGGTCGTCAATGACTTGTGTGAGCTGGCATTGTCGTGATGGGCGAAAATGTCTTGCCTATTACTAAGTTGTAGACGTTTTATCTCAATTGCGTCGAACGGAATTAATCGCCTGTCCAGGTTACAGCAGCTCAAAAGGTATACGATTCCTGGTAGCTGCATTTGCAAATTTTTCTCCATCTTTAACCCTTAAATGCATAGAATTTTTATTTTAATATCCACCACTGAAGTATGTTTTTTTTTTTTTTTTTTTTTACAATGTATATTACATTCAAAAAGAAGCTGCAGAGATATTCTTGATCAGCGTGATATGCTGAATTAAGCGATTTCTGTCCGTCTGTGTATTGTTTATTGTTGGCACTCCCCTGGTCGCAAAACTCAAGGTATCGACTTCAAATTTGGTAGAAGCATTTGAAATTTCTGCACGCAAGTTTGTATTAAAAGTGGGCTAAATTGTTCAGAGCAGAAGCCCGCGGAGTACCATAATTTGAAAGCAACCCCGTTTTTCTTAACAAGAATTTGTGCATTTTTGCTCGTTACTCAGAAATTACTAAATTTAGGAGGCTGAAATTTTCCACATTTTCCACTTAACGTAACAGTCTACTCTACTAGTTGGTCATGCCCACACAAAAGTACGAGCGATTAAGTTGATTTTCCACTTTTTCGAGCTTTGATGCTTATTTATCATAAGACAAGCAACACAGAATGTTTAAAACTATTTTGCACATTGCTCAGCTGAGCATATAAGATCTACCCAAAAAAGGGGTAAATTCTGAAACGAATATAGAAGACACCATGACCAGGTGGATTAATTTTTTCTTAATAATACCAGCGATCATGATACCAGGGCATCAAACAAAAGAACTTGGATAATAGAATTCGAAAAGCTAAGTGTGATATTTCCATTTCGTCTATTTACATTTCTACACAACATATACTATTGCTTTGATTGTAACGTAGAAATAGTAAGTAATAAAAATAAATAAAAAATATTTTGAAGAAAACTTTTTGCTTTTATGCTAGTTAACTAAAAGATAAAAGAGGAATTCCATTCACTTTTTCATAACTATAAATAAAGGTATGACGCGACACAGATTTCAATGCAATGGATATGCGGAATTCGGTCTCCGTCGAATATAACTTCCTTACTTTTTAATAAGTAAAACTATCTCTCATTACATTAAAAAACATGAAAATCCATGAAACGAGTTTTTTTAACGGGAAAGGCAAGAAAGTTGCCAAATGACCTTTGCGCGATAGTTACCTTTACATAATGGAATTTTACATCTCAATCTGTTTGAAAGTGTAGACGTGTGACCAACGCCAGTCCTGTCGTATTTCAATAGGCGGGCGGCAAAAAATAGATGAACCTCCACGTTTTTACACCTGTGCACGGTGCCCTAACGAGAGATTACTAAGCCGATCTCTTTTATTACCGCATTTATGAGAGCCTTCATTGCAAAGAGCATCTGTCAACACATTACCGAACTAACCAAGACCAGGATTCGGTAGTTATTTGTTCGGGCTATCCTTTGCAATGGACTTTTCTTCCAATAAGTGATAGAATAGATGGAGGTGCACTTTATGGCTTTTGACTTTTATACGATAGCGAGCTAAGTCGCTATCCATCACGTCCACTTCTCCCATGGCGCATATTATATACTAGGGCAAGAGATATCAATCTTTTGCATTAGTCGCTTATCATATCGGCATATACTGTCTAAGCGTAGCAAGTCAATATACCGCGTTATCTTTCCATGTCGTCACTAAAAAGTCAACACAATCACGGGGAGAAATTCTTTCATAAGTTTTCCTAAGAATTGTCGCCTACATCAGAGCCCTCTGTGGCC